AGGTAAATACGTTTTGTCATCAACTATGTGACAGACTAATTCTAAACCATATAGCTTATGGATACTAGATGCTGGGGCATCAGACCATATTTGCTTGTTCTCTAGACTTGTTTTTAGAACATAGGCAAGTACAAGATATTTTTGTTCATCTCCCAAACTGTTCTAAGGTTGTAGTCTACTTACCCTTTGGCTTATACCTATTCAATATCCTACTAGTTCACAGATTCTCAGTCAATCTAGTTTTGGTGAGTCGACTTACACATGACTTTCCCATCTCCTTACACTTTCACACTGATATTTGCCACATTCGGGACCTTCTAAACAAGAGAACGATTGGTTTGGAAAAAGAAATTAAAGGCCTCTACCAGCTTACCTTCTCCTCCAGACCAATGACCATCCTGCTTCACATCAACTCTAAGCTTCTAGTGTTTTCAATTTCAACCCTCAACAAGTAGATCTGTGGCATTGGAGATTAGAACATCCTAGCAATGATAGGCTTAGTCTGTTACAGCACATTGACTCTTCTATAATTCATTCTAAAGTCGATCATTGTAATATTTTTCATTTCTCTAAACACAAAAAGACTACCTTTCCTTGTTAGTACAAACAATGTAGTTAAGCCTTTTCAGCTTGTGCATGCCGACATTTGGAACCACTATCTGTTAAGTCATATAATGGTTATTTCCTTACAATTTTTGATGATTGTTCAAAACCTGTATGGGTATACTTGATGCATGGCAAGAATGAAGCTAGGGATTTCCTGAAGGGGTTCTGTGTGCTGGTTAAAAACCAGTTTGCTAGTTCAGTGCAAAGAATTAGAAGTGATCAGGGGAAAGAATTTAATATGTGCGATCATTTCATAAGTGAAGGTATTGAACACCTGATGTCATCTGTTTATACACCTGAATAGAATGCCAGGGTGGAAAGAAAACACCAGCACATATTGAATGTAACCAGATCATTAAGGTTTCAATCTGGCATTCCTATGCCATTTTGGAGTGACTGCATTCTACATTTTGTTTACCTTATCAACAGAATGCCTACTCCAGTTCTTAACAATCTATCTCCCTTTGAAGTACTCTACAAGAAACCACCATTCCTTAGAAACCTAAGATTATTTGGTAGCTTAGTTTATGCTGGAACACCCATATCTGGCATAACTAAATTTTCCCCCAGGTCCAGACAATGTGTGATGCTAGGCATCCCTCCATGGATCAAGGGTTACAAATTATTGGCTATTCATACCAATCGGGTTCTGATCTCAAGGGATGCGGTTTTCTATGAGTCAATCCTACCCATTTAGAACTGAGAATATCCAGTCTCCTACACCTATTGTGTCTGATCTTACTCCTACTCCTGATGATTCTCTTTCTACACCCGATCTGGTCATTCCCAGCACTTCTATTCCAATCCATTAGCCTCCTTTGTCTCCTGATCCAATCTCAGCTGATGAGGGGGATGTCCTGGACAATTCCAACTCACTTGGAGTGACTGAGTTTAAACCAGAACTGGAACCTCAATAGGATTATGAACCACCATCAAGGCCTAAGAGGAACTATCATTTGCCTAGCAAGTACAATGATTTTGAACTGGATCCAAGCTTACAGTTTGGTACTTTTGTATCACCTGGACAGAATGCAGCTGTTAGTAGATATCCAATAGCATTGAATGTGAATCATTTAAACTCTACTGATAGGACATATGCACTGAGCATTATCTATCGGGAAGGGCCACTCACTTATCAAGAAGCAATCAAGTATGAACATTCTAGAAAGGCTATGAGAGAAGAATGTGACTCATTAGAAACCAATCAGACCAGGGACATAGTTCCAGTACATGAAGGAAAGAAGTGATTGGAAATAAATGAGTTTACAAGATCAAACTCAAGCCAGATGGCTCTCTTGAGAGATTCAAATCGAGATTGGTGGCAAAGGGATTTACACAGGTATATGAAATTGATTTCCTAGATACCTTTTCCCCAGTTGCCAAAATCAAATTAGTCAAAGCCTTGTTAGCAATTGCAGCAGTCAAGAATTGGACATTTGAACAAATTGATATCTCTAATGCATTTCTGCATGGAGAGTTAAATGAAGAAGTTTATATGCAGTTGCGACCAAGGTTGGATTTGAAGATATCTGGACCACAAATAATGGTTTGTAGACTAAATACGTCTCTCTATGGGTTGAAGCAACCCTCTAGGCAATAGTTTGCTAGGCTGAGCAGCTTTCTCTTGAAGAGTGGTTTCAGCCAATCTGCCTCAAACTACTCCTTATTCACTAAGTGAATTAGAGGTAGAATTGTTGTGTTGTTGATCTATGTGGATGACATAATAGTAGGGGGAGATGCTCCTAAAGATATAAAATAGGTGAAGAAGGCTCTAAGTCAATAATTCAAATGAAGTTGTTGGGTCCTTTGAAGTATTTCCTGGGATTGGAAATCAACAGGACAACAAGTGGAATAACTGTATGTCAAAGAAAATATTGCATAGAGTTACTGAAATAAACATGTTACCTAGATTCTAAAGGGTGTCAAACACCAATTGATTACAAGGTGAAGCTTTCATCACAGAAGGCTGGTGGGGAGACCAGATTTCGCATTTGTTGTTCAACAGCTATGTCAGTTCCAAAAAGAAGCCACATGAAGACCACACTCAAGCAGCCTACAAAGTTATAAGGTACTTGAAGAGTGCACCAGGTCAAGGGATTCACTTTGACTGTAATGTTGAGTTGAAGCTAACAGGTTTCTATGATTCTGACTGGGCAAGTTGTCAAGACACCAAAAGGTCAACAACTGGCTATTGTATCTTTTTGGGAAGATCACTCCTTACATGAAAATCCAAAAAGCAAACCATTGTTTCCAGGTCCTTATCTGAGGCTGAGTACAGGACATTAACAATGACAGTATGTGAGATCCAATGGCTGAAGGGTTTTCTGGAAGAGCTAAGTGTCAAGGTACCCTTACCAATTACTATTTTCTATGATAACAGGTCAATCATACACATCGCTGAGAATCTTGTTTTCCATTAAAAGGATGAAACATATAGAGATCGACATACATGTCACAAGAGAGAGTATCAAGTCAGGTTTGATCAAGCTGGAGCATGTGAGCACAGTCAATCAACTAGAAGACATATTCACTAAAGGGTTGGAGCAAGCACGACTCAAAGATCATTTGACCAAGTTGGGAGTCATCCTTCCTGCCACAGCTTGAAAGGGGGGGGGGGGTGACAAAGTCGTTGAAATGGAGAAATCCAGATTGCAGAATGATTGTTCTACAAAAGAAGATGAAGACCCTAAACCCCTTGCTGGAGAAATGTTTCGAGATAAAACGTAGAAGCTAGGCTGTTAAAAGGTGTTGCGCACTGTTTCACTCTAAGATATATTAGCCGTTAATAGAATTGTTTAAAGTTTTAATACATCCAGTCGGAATGTGATACATGGCAATTATCTGTAAACCTGATTACAAGCTTATATAAAAAGCAACAGAGCAGCTCTCTACTGCCAATGAGTTTTTCAACCATTTCTACCCTAATGTTTGAAACACAACACGTCCCTCCCCCACCCAGACCTGACCACCAAATATTGGGAGAAAAAATTATGTCACCGACCACATCACCCGTTGCAGCTTCCGGCAGATTGTGCTCCCCGCCACCTCCATCCCATCTCAACCCACTCCCCCACCCTCATCCATCGTTGTTGCTCCTTGTGCAGCCACCCACCAACAGGATTCTGGCTGCCGCCACTACCATTGCCACAATCATTGATGCTCTATTTCTAGCGTGTGGGAGATCTTCCACCACGAGGACTGTAACTCGAGCAGCCTAATTCAAACTAACAACTTATATAGGTCGACAAAAGTTAGAAGAAGATGTAGAAATATATTTCAAACATAACCTTTGGGTTTTGGCCATAAACAGGACTCAATTTGTATCTCACACAAGGGCTTCGTCTTCCACCATGTGAAGCAACAAGTGAAAATAAGTAAATAACCACTTCAGTAAACATAAAAATTTATAAATCTAGCTCATGAATAGCATCTTGAGCAATGCAGTCAAAATCACTCTTTAAAACTTAAAAGCTTACGTTTTTACATTTCTCGGACACCAAAACGCTTCTACGCAGAATCGTGCTTGTCTCTTACAAGTGTAGCCAAAATATATGCTTTCTTACGATTTTACGCTTCTAGTTCACCAAAATGTTTCTACTTAGTATCGCGCTTTTGCCTGCATTGATCCTGAGAATCCCTTTTGTCATCAAATTCAATAAAGGCGATGAGTAAAGGGGTTTTGGTGTGGGTGGTGTGTATTTGTTTGAAAGTTTGTGTTTGTAAGACAAAAAATAAACTAGGGACATTAAGGTAAATTGATTAAGAGTTAGGGCGACAAATAGCATTTTTTAGGGCGACGAATTGCATTTTTTAGGGCGACAAATAACAATTCCCGAATTTAATCGAGTTTGAGATATTATATTTTACCCTAATCTCTAATTGATAAACCCTAGATCTCAATTATCTAAACTTAAACCTTAAGTTCAATTTAACGGAAAACAATAATTGACCGTCGAGATCTTTCAGAACTCATCGAAGTACATCTAACGACAGATCACTTGGAGTATACAATTATTTACTATATTATATGCATACTTGAATAATACTCTAATAATGACTACCTCTAGATCTTGTTTTCTAAATAGCTTTCATATGGATTTACACGTCACCGCTATGAGCTAAATTAGCATATGTCTTCTGGTCCAAATTTTGACTCAAAATTTGAACCAAATGAACTTTCGAACCTTTGAACCACACTAAAGTGGCATTTGAAATTTTGGACCAACAGTAAAAGTGGTCTAATAGGCCACCTGGGTTGTATTGCATTTTATTAAACTAAACCATTGCCACGTCAATACCGTGACACCTTGAACTCAAACATACATTCTCAGGACCCCACCTCCAGAACCCATATTGCTTACCCACCTATACCATTAATCAACTTCAAACTTTGATTAATTGGGGCGGACCCCAAACCTCGTGATCACGGAGCCTCGCAAAGGATTCTTCATCACAATAGTAAACTTCGTCTTCTCCAAGAGAGCCACCCCCTCACCTTCCACACCTTTCCACTCAAAAGCCCCAAACCAAATTGGCCACGAAATACTCCAAATGCAGCAGCGCGAACCCAAACCTAGGACACATCCGCCTCCCGGCTCCGAACGACATCATTTTGATCCCTTTGGTTCCCGTTATGTCAAACGCCTCCACAAAAAACCTCTCCGGCTTAAACGACATCGGATACTCCCACATTCTCGGATCCCAACCCATATCCACCATCATGAAATTCACGCTCGCTTTCTTCGGCATCGCATAACCTCCCAGCTCCGCCTCCTCCTCCATCACCGCGTACGGCAACACGAAATGCCTCGGCGGGTGGTGCCGAAGCCCTTCTAGCACCACCGCCTTCAGATACGATAGCTTACTCAGATCTTCTTCTCTAATTTCTCATTGCCGTGTGTCGCCGATTAGGGATTTCATTTCCTCGAACACCTTATTCTGGATCTCCGGATGCTTGACCAGATTCGCCATGTGTTTTCCCCGGCGAGAGAATCTTGATGGAACATAATTGAATGCACTTTTGACTTCTAATCAAACGATTGTGGGTTCGAGTCCCACTAGGTGTGCCAATTTGTTTTCCTGACGAGAAAATCTAGATGGATCAGAATGAAATTTGCACCTTTTGACTTCTTATCCAAATGATTACTAAACACGGTCCACACCTCTTTGAACAAAGTTCAAACAAGGGTGTTCGATGTTCTAGATGATTTACGAGACAAATCTAAATTACATTAACCCTACTCCTATGGAGTTTCAGTGATAGCTGCAAAACTACAACTATGGCTATGGCTACATTTGCAGAGAAAGGTAAAGATAAAGATAAAGATAAAGCTTGACAATAGGTTGTCTGGTTTGATTTTGGTGAACCCCTTCTCTGTCATCTTCACCTCTTATTTATAGCCACCAGAAGTAACTGCCTCGAGAAACTTCTCTACCGACGTGGAGTGACGGTTACCCTCTCAACTGTTATGACGGTTACCCTATCGTTGGATGTGCCACCTTCTTTAGTCTTGACCCCCTCCTCTTGAGTAGGGATGGCAACAAAATCCGAACCCACGGGTACCCACCCGATCCAACTTGGTCAACGCGGGTAAAATCCGTGTTGACAGGTTTTGGGCCGGGTTTGGGTTTAAATCCGTTCACTATTCACCGGGTTGGGTTGGGTTTGGGTTTAGGTAAACCAGACCCATGGCTACCCGCCCACACCATATAGTTAATTTTCTCGGTATATATAATATTCTAAACAACTAATTTTATTTATGTTTGTGGAGACATATCTAATTTTTTCTTTCTAATTGTGTAGAATGAAGTTGATGTCATCGAGTGGAGAGTGAAGAAACTTAATTGAAAGGAAGAAGCTTTCAATTAATCATGTTATTTATGGATAATTTGTGATTTGCTTTAATTTTATTGAGTTTTCTAGATTGGTGTTGAACAATTTGTAAAGTTAATTTGTTATTTGCTTGAATTTTCTAGAATGGTGTTTTATATATGGATAATTTGTATTGAGAGATTGATATTCGACTTTAATTTTGATAGGAACTTGTTATTGTAAATTTTTTACGACAAAAACCCATGGGTACCCATGAACCCACGGATACCCAGCGGGTTGGGTTGGGTTTGAGTTTTCCAAACCCAATGGGTTTTACCCCGGGTTTTTTTTTTCACGGATAAATCCATGGGTTTGGGTTTGGGTTTGGAAAAACCCGACCCAACCCGACCCATTGCCATCCCTACTCTTGAGACCTCACTTTTTGCTCTTGGTATCTCCTCCATAGCTTCGTTTGTCTATAGAGAGAAAATGGTTAAGGCATGAAGACAGACCACGTGCCACATATGGGTGGGTACTTGAATCACATGAGTTAAAAATGGCAAAAATACTTCACCTTTAGGAGAGTAAAGACCACGTGCTCACACGACCCCCCTTGCCTTGGCCATATCATGGGGGAGATGTTGACCACGCTCCTTGGCCATAACATGGGGGCGTAATCATTCTCCATACTTAGCCATATTTCACTCCATGGTATTGCACCCCATGGGGGTCATATGGATCACCCCCACCACTACATCATCCTGATGGGAGCTGGCGTTGGTGACCCCCCCCCCCCCCACCCCCTAATCATACCACGGGGGTGGTATATTGGTGGTCTCCTAACCACCTCTTGGGGGTGCTACTTGCCATACTCATCATTTTCCATATTTAGCCAACTTTCGACCCCACCTCACCACACTAAGGGGTATGGTGATCACACCATGGGGCCTACTCGTCTTGGCCAAATTCGGCCAACCATTTTCAGACTTAGCCAAATTTCACCCAAGATAATCACCCCCTGATCATACCATGGGGAGTACCACACTACCGCTTATGACAGTCTCTGGTCGTACCTTTAACCACACTCATGCCATCACTCCACCATATCACCACTCCTTGAGGGAATATGTCAATAACTCCCACCACCACATCATGGGGGTGGCAGTATGGTGCCCACCCCTTTACCACGACATGGGGGTGGCATTATGGTGCCCACACCACTCAACACGTCATGGGGGTGGCGGTATGGTGCCTACACCACTCAACACATCATGGGGTGACAGTATGGGGGTCACCCCGCCTCAGCACGTCATGGTGGTGGCCCCAATACTTAGCCAAATTTTGGAATAGATGGCTAGAGTGGCGCATTATCTCATTAGATTATGGGCACAAAAACCCAGCCCACTTGGCCCATATTAATTGATTTAATTGTTATAATTAAGTTGGTCTTATGAAACCATTTAATCCCTTGTATTTAATCGATGTGGCACAGGATGAATTTTAATGGTAAACACCATGATCCATTGCAAGGCGGTGGCGGTGGTGTTCGTCCCACCGATTAGGAACTCGCTGCATAGAGTCATCATCTCCGCCTCCGTCAGCTTCCGCTTCACCTCCGGCAGCTCTAGGTTGAACAGAGTGTCCGCGTACGCCATAAAGTAACTGTCGTCCTCGCCAAATTGGCTATTCTCATCTTCCTTTATTTTGCTCGCTCGTTCTCGTTTTTTTTATACAAAAGATAATCGTATATTGATCAACAAAATACATAATTACACCCTGGTACGCAACCAGGCCACAAAATCAAAAGAACCACTCGTAGTCGGGTACATATGAAGGGCTCGTTCTCATTTCAGGCTCTCTCTAGCGCGAATCAGAGGAATCAAGATGTCTTCCTGCTCCTGCCTGACGTGGAGGAACTCCGACCACCTCTTTCGGAACATGATTTTGGTGACTCGCGGATTCGAGGTTGAGAAGCATATGACGCTGGACTCGCTGGATCTCTGAAATCTGGTTCTCGCCAAGCTTGTCGCCGAAGCACATGAACACTAGCAGGCAGAACATGGCGTGGTTGAACTGATCCATGAGCGGGTCCGGATCCATGGAGTCGGGGATTGAGGACGTTGAGCTCCCACTCGCGCGAGTGGGAGTAGGACTTCATGCGCGACATGTAAAGAAGTAAAACGCGGAAGATAAAATGCACACGAGATTTACGTGGTTTCCCCGAATATCGGGACTACTCCACGGTGATGAACTTGAGGTTCATCGACGTTCACTAGTGATGGTGTTTAGGTTTTGTTTTGGCAGCTGTACACTCTGCTGCGCTTAGGGTTTGTTCAGCAACTAAGAACTCCTCTTATACCCGCAACAGTAAACCTGGGTATGAGGAGAATTACAAGAAAAGTCCCAAATATGAAACAACTGTACAAATAGGTCCAATACTCCCCCTCAAGCTGGAGCATGAAGATCACGAATGCCATGCTTGGACAAAAGAGTGTGGAACTGCTCCGTGCCCAGTGCCTTCGTGAAGATATCAGCAAGCTGCGAGTGAGTGCCAACCTTTCGCGGGGAGATGTCACCGGAAGAGACTCGTTCGCGAACAAAGTAACAATCCATCTCGACGTGTTTGGTCCGCTCATGGAAAACCGGGTTAGCGGCAATGTGAAGAGCCGCCTGATTATCACAATAGAGAGGAGTAGGAGCAAGTTGCGGGACCTGTAACTCACGGAGAAGAAAACGGAGCCAGAGAACTTCACTAGTGGTGCTGGCCATAGCGCGATACTCAGCTTCAGCAGAGGAACGAGCAACCACTCGTTGCTTCTTAGCACGCCAAGAGACCGGGGCCCCACCCAACTCGATGTAGTACCCCGTGGTGGAGCGGCGACTGAACTGGCAGCCTGCCCAGTCAGCATCGCTATAGGGAGTAAGCTCAAGGGAACCGTCCGCCGGCAAGAAAAGACCCTGGCCTGGAGCAGTTTTCAAATAGCGAAGCACCCGATTAGCTGCATCCATGTGTTCTGGAGAAGGCGACTGTACAAACTGGCTGAGTAAGTTGACCGAGTAAGCAATATCCGGACGGGTGATTGTGAGATACAGGAGGCGACCGATGAGCCGACGATATGCGCTCGCGTCCGGCACACGGTCCTCGGACGGCCGAGTCAAAGTGTGATTCTGTTCCATCGGAAAGGCACTCGGTCGAGCTGCAGTCATGCCAGAGTCCGCCAAATTGTCGAGCGTGTACTTGCGCTGGCTGAGAACAATCCCTGCAGGAGAACGAGCAACTTCAATCCCGAGAAAATATTTCAAAACCCCCAAGTCCTTAATGCTGAACCGCTGATGCAAGAAGTCCTTAACCCGAGCAATAGTAGTCGGGTCATTCCCAGTGAGCACGACGTCGTCGACATAGATGAGAATGGCAACAAACACAGGGCCGGCCTGAAAAAGGAACAAGGAGTGATCCGCCTTGGAAACAGTAAAACCGAAGTCCAACAAGGCTTCTGTGAATTTGGTGTACCAATTCCAGGAAGCTTGTCGTAGACCATAGAGAGATTTGCGAAGTCTGCAAACCCGAGTATCACCGGGCTGAGCGAACCCCTGTGGCACTTTCATGTAGACCTCCTCTTCCAGGTCACCGTGCAGGAACGCGTTGTTCACGTCCAGCTGGTGAAGAGGCCAATTCTTTTTAGCAGCAACAGCCAACAGCACACGAACAGTGACCAACTTAGCAACGGGGGCAAAGGTATCATGGAAGTCGATCCCTTCTAGCTGAGTAAAACCTTTAGCGACCAACCGAGCTTTGTATCGATCAACTGTCCCGTCTGGGTTAAACTTGACCTTGTACACCCATTTCGAGTCAATGGCTCGCTTCCCAGGAGGCAGGTACTCTAATGTCCACGTACCCCGAATTTCCAACGCCTCAATTTCACGCTTCATCGCCTCCCGCCATTGTTCAAACCGTACCGCTTGAGCATAGGTCCGCGGCTCGTAAATATGAGACAAGGCCGCCAAAAAAGCAGAGTGGGAGTGAGAAAGCCGATGATATGACACGTGATTAGAGATAGGGAACTTGACATGAGAAGAAGAGGTGGTAGGTAAGTTTACCTCAAAGCCATCAAACTTGGAAGGAAGTTGATGCTGGCGTGGAGGATTACGGCGAGGTGCTGCGGGTGGTGGCGAAGGGGGCCTGCTTGTAGGCAGCTCCTCAAGCCCATGCACGCCCGCCTGGTCGTGAGCATCGTCCGCCTGGTCGGGAGTATCGTCCGCCTGGTCGTGAGCATCGTCAAAAATATTGCCCGCCTGGTCGTGAGCATTATCATGGGGAATGCTAGTAGGACCTGCAACAGGGGGACTAATGGTGGTATTGTGCACGTGATCAACAGGTTCTTCATCGGCCATAATTCCAAGAAATTGGTCCGTGAAGGGCTCGTCGTGCATGGTATGCATGTAAGGGAGCGTGCGAGGGCCAGGAGCTTCGGAAGACAGAGGAAGAGCTGTACCCGCTGCCTTGAGAATAAAGGGAAAAACCCGCTCGATGAAGTGAACATCACGTGAGACCAGAATTTTTCGAGTGCGGAGATCGTAGACTCGATAACCCTTCTGAGCCCGGATAACCCACAAATACGCCAGCCCGACCACGTTCAGAAAATTTATCCAAACCATGATGTGTATCTTTGGTGTAGACAAGGCATCCAAAAGTGCGGAGGTGAGAATATGCGGGCACTCGATCCAGGAGAACTTCGAAGGGGGTTTTCACGGCAAGAACAACAGAGGGCATCCGATTAATGAGATAGGTGGCAGTCAGTACACACTCACCCCAAAATCGAACGGGTAACCCTGCATGAAACATAAGGGCTCGCGCAGTCTCTAAGAGGTGACGATGTTTCCTCTCCACCACTCCATTCTGCTGAGGAGTGTCAGTACAGGAGGTCTGTAAAACAATGCCATGTTCTTCATAATATGACCGCAAAGAATGAGTCTGAAATTCCAAGCCATTGTCCGCCTGAATACGCTTAACCTGTTTACCAAATTGGGTACGAACAAGCTGGCAGAACATAAGTAGATAGCGCTCCACATCAGATTTAAATTTCATCAAATAAACCCAAGTAGATCGGCTGAAATCATCGACGATGGTTAAGAAGTAGCGTGATCCATCAAGAGCAGAGGTGCGATATGGCCCCCAAATGTCTATGTGAATCAAATCGAAACAACCAGTTGTCTTGATAGTACTACTAGGAAAAGGTGTGCGAGATTGTTTAGCTCGCAAGCAAGAATCACAATGAGAAGAATCTGCCGATGGAGGATTACATCCCACTAAAGTACTAAAACGACTAAATTTATCGAAAGCTAAGTGCCCCAGTCGGGCATGCCACAGAGCCGACTCCTCCAAGGAGCTTGACACCTTGCTCGCACAGCTCAGCTGGTGCTCACTCCATCGAGGCAAATAATAGAGTCCATCCTTAATCCGTCACACTCCAATAAGCGTCTTGGAAGGTAAGACCTGAAGTGTGCAGAAATCATGCAAGAAAGTGACTGCCACATTATGATCTTGAGCCAAACGACTAACTGATAAAAGATTGCACTTGAAATCTGGAACATGAAGGACCCGATTCAGCTGAATCGATGACGAGAAAGCAACTGAACCTATGCCCCGTACAGGTACACCAGTACCATCGGGAATACGAACTTGTGAGTGACCCAAAACTGTTTCAACTGAATCCATCCAACTAATATCCCTGACAATGTGTTCATTACACCCAGAGTCGATTAACCACATATCAAGTTCAGGATTATTACCCGCCATGTGCGCTGTGGGTGTGGAAGAAACATCCGGAGTACTCGACATCAGGAACTCCTTCAGCTGTGCGAGCTGGGATGCGGTGAGACCTGGAATCGGTGATGCCTGATCGGGCTCGACGTGAGCAGCTTTGGGACGTCGAGTTGCTGGTCCGGAGCGCTCTTCAGCCTTGGCGCGAGGATGACCCGGTGGAAAGCCCACAAGACGATAGCAAACGTCCCGGGTGTGTCCAATCCTATTGCAATGGGCGCAACGTGTGCGTTCTCTTTCTTGTTGCGGCTGTTCCTTTTCGGTCTGCGTCTGAAACGCGGCGGTATCCACCACAGTACGGCGTGAGCTTGTGATGCTACGATGATGTTCCTCAGCCGATACCATTTGGTAAGCATCGGCCAATGAAGGGGTAGGCTTGAGACTTAATATTTGAGACCTGATAGTTGAATATGTCTCATCCAAGCCTAAAAGGAACTCAAAAAGCCGCTCATTATCTAGCTTCTCCCGAGACAGCCAAACCCACTCGCACCAATAGCCGCCACAAGTGCAAGCTTGCACTCCCCCTATCGACTGCATCTCATCCCAATATGAACGAAGTTGGGTGTAGAAGGCCGAGACAGAGAGTTTGTCTTGTCGAAGACCACTGATTTTGCGGCGAAGTTCGTAACCCTGTTGAGCGGAGCCACGAATGAAACGTCGTTGCAGGTCTGCCCATATTTCATGAGCAGTAGAGGCAGTTCGCACGCTGTTGCACACCTGGCGAGTCATCGCCGTCTTTAGCCAGCCCTTAACGGTGGCATCACAACGGTCCCATGCTTCTTTCTGCAGCGCCGTGCTTGCCTTGGACCTAGGAAACTTGCCGTCGACGAAAGCGAGCTTATTTTTGGCGATGAGGGTCTCGGTGATGTCGTTCACCCATTCGCCGTAGTTGGAGTCATTCAATAAATCGCTGCCGAAGAGTTGAGCAGGATTTTCCGAAGGATGGAGATAGAGAGGGGAGCTGATCGGAATGGCATTAACCTCGATGGGGTCGTTACCAACGCCGCTGACCTCCTCGTCTTTGCCCATGACGAATCGAAGTGTAGACTACAGCTCTGATACCATGTAAAGAAGTAAAACGCGGAAGATAAAATGCACACGAGATTTACGTGGTTTCCCCGAATATCGGGACTACTCCACGGTGATGAACTTGAGGTTCATCGACGTTCACTAGTGATGGTGTTTAGGTTTTGTTTTGGCAGCTGTACACTCTGCTGCGCTTAGGGTTTGTTCAGCAACTAAGAACTCCTCTTATACCCGCAACAGTAAACCTGGGTATGAGGAGAATTACAAGAAAAGTCCCAAATATGAAACAACTGTACAAATAGGTCCAATACGACGGGTGGAGGATTTTAGAGGTCAGGTTGCGCCGGAGGAGTTGCCAGGTGGGACCATAGAAAGAGCTATTGATGTTGTGCTGGTTGCTAGAAGTGATCCGGGAGAGCGCCGGAGCCGGCTGTCAGTCGGCAAAGACGATGCCTTCATGGATTAAGGCCTGGTGGGCGAGGTCATTGTCGCCGACGAAGATTGCTAAGTGAGGGCCGGGTGATGATGGGGACGAATTTGGGGCGGAGGGTACGGAGGACGCACTCCAGGTCCGATAGTGATCGACGGAGCCACGTGAGGTTGCCAATGACCGGGAAAGCGGAAGGGCCCGGAGGAAGATGGCGACGATTTTTCCCATCAGAGTGAAGGATGAGGAGGGATTTGAGGAGGGCGGTGGCGACGAGGGAGATTAGGATAAGTAGCCAGTAATTCTCCATTGTTGCTCTTCTGCCACGCACATGCGTTGCGAATAAAGTGGAGAATAAGTTATAAGTGTGTTGATAATATTTGTCAATCTATTATTAATTAACAACTAAAAACAACTAATATAATTTCTTGTTGTGGAAAGAAAAAATCGACAACAAGTATCATTTTATGTTAATTTCTGAACCGAATTCTGCATAAAAGGATAATTGTGAACCAACTTTCTATAAAACGAAAAACAATGTTTATATTGGAGGACTATGTTAGGAAAAAATAGTAGAGGAGTAATGATAGGAAATCATTGAGTTTAGGGATCAAATATACCATTAACTCCATTTCAATATGAAGATTTATCATTTTGTTTGTAATGTTGTGGTTTATTTGAACATGGATATATATTGTAAAAAAGTTGTCTTGAGTAGGGCTGGTTATTTGGTTTGGGTTTTTTTGTTTTACTCGAAACCAGATTGTATAACCCGGACCGAGACCGGATAGTAAACAATCCAATCCAAGTTTTGTGCTTAGATTTGAGGTCAAAAACCGTTCTGGATCGGATAGAAAACTGGATAAAAACCGGATAAGAGAGCTCAACACCCAAAACTTAAGGGTAATTTGCATAAACGGTCACAAACCTTTGCACTTAGTACAAAACTTAACCAACTTCTCACACTTTCAGGCCTTAGGCCACTAAAATCCCCACAAGCTCAATATTAAATCAAGACCGAATTGGGACCGGACCGGATAAAGATGGACTGTATCCAATCCAATCTTTGGTCCTTATATTTTCGAAAAGACCGGACTGGGATCAGATCAATTTGGGCCAATTTAACCGGACGTATAGGTGTAAATAATTTAATGTTAACCATTTTCCACTTTCTCCACATATTTATTTAAAATCGACAAACTCATTGCACTCTAGCCAATACATACAATTTGCTAAACCAGTATAACAATTTAAACCAGTTTGACAACCTTATATATACTACATAAAATTCAATCTTTATTTTTTTTATTGAAAATATATGGTACACGCAAAAGTTGCATAGAACGGTTTCGTAGACACACAATATATAATAATACAACACTTAACCCCTTGGGAAGACTTGCGCCCGCAATGGATTCTTCATCACCACCGTAAACTCTGGCTTCTCCGAAAGATCCACTTCATCGCCTTCCACAGCTTTCCACTCGAAACTCCATACCAAATTGGCCACAAAGTACTCCAAATGCAGCAAAGCCAATGCATATCCAGGGCACATCCTCCTCCCCACCCCAAACGGCATCATTTTGATCTCCTTGCTTCCCGTTATGTCAAACGTCGTCGTCTTCTCCCCAACAAACCTCTCCGGGTTAAACGCCATCGGATCCTCCCACACTTCCGGGTCCCGACCCATCTCGGCCACCATGAAATTCACCCTCGCTTTCTTCGGCACCAAATACCCGCCCAGCTCCACCTCCTCCGTCACCGTGTGCGGCAGCACGAAATGCCCCGGCGGGTGGCGCCGGAGTCCTTCTAGAACCACCGCCTTCAGATACGGTAGCTTGCTGAGATCCTCCTCTCTAATTTCTTCTCGCCGTGTGTCGCCGATTAGGGATTTCATTTCCTCGAACACCTTGTTTTGGACATCGGGGTACTTGACCAAATTGGCCATTATCCACTGCAAGGCGGTCGCGGTGGTGTCGGTGCCGGCGTTGAGGAACTCGTTGCAGAGAGTCACCATCTCTGTCTCCGTCAGCTTCCGCTTCCCCTCCTCCGGCAATTCCAAATCGAAGAGCGTGTCGACGTATGCTAAAACGTAGTCGTCTTTGTGGCTGTCTTCCTTGATTTGGCGATTAGGTCTTCCTTCTTTGAGATCCTTTCTCGCTCGAATCAGAGGGAGCAGCACGTCCTCCTGCTCCTGCCGCAGCCGCAGAAACTCCGACCACCGGTTTCGGAGGAAGATCCGGCCGAGCCGCGGCCAGAAGTTGAGAGCGTTGAACCTCCGGATGTTGAGGAGCATCTGGCGCTCGACCCTCTCGATCTCCGAGATCTGGTTCTCGCCGAGCTTGTCGCCGAAGCACATGAACACCAGCAGGCAGAACATCGCGTACTGGAACTGATCCATGACCCGAACCGGCTGGGCGGATCCGGATTCGAGGAGGCGGGTCTTGAGGATGCGGAGCGTCCAGTCACGCGCGTTGGAGTAGGACCTCACGCGCGACGGGTGGAGGATCTCGGAGGTCAGGTTGCGGCGGAGGAGGCGCCACGTGGGGCCGTAGGGGGCGGCGTTGATGCTGTGCTGGTTGCTGCCGGTGACGAAGGAGATGGGCGGAGCGGGTGGCCGGCTGGCAAATACGGCGCCGCTCTGGATCAAGGCTTGGTGGGCGAGGGTGCGGTCGGCGACATAGATGGCGGGGCGACCGCCGATGCGGATAGTGACGGCGGGGCCGTGTTTGGCGTGGAGAGTGCGGAGTACGGACTCCAGTTCGGAGAGTGGCTTGCGGAGCCATATGAGGTTTCCGATGATGGGGACGGCGGCGGGGCCCGGCGGAAGGGATGGTTTGCCGGGGGAGGAAATGTTTAGCAGAGATCTGAGGAGAGCGGCGACGGCGAGGGAGATGAGCAAAAGGAACCAATAATAATGAGAATCCTCCATGTCTGAAGTGAAAGTCAGTGTGTTTAATGGTTTTTATTGATATTCAACTAACGACATTGCTATATTTTATACCTCTGAGTGAATACACCATGAGCATGAATGAACGAAAGACAAGGATGACTTTGGCTTCCATTGGTCAACAAAGTTCTTCGTTGAATTGAACCCCTATTCACATGTGAATAGGTTTTCTTCCTGGAGAGGTTATTATGCGTACGTAAGCCAGTGTGTCAAACCGGTAGAGTTGGCAAATGAATTGATTTATAGATTGGTGGATTGGATTGATGGATCAAATGAATTGGATTTAATGGATTGGTTGATTCATGGATTGATGGATTCTCAATTAATCCACATGACATCCTCAACCAATGACCAATATATAAAAATGTGAAAAGTTTAGGTACTAAAATGTCATAATGAAAATTTCTAGGTACCAAAACGTAATTTTTCAATTATATTTTTCGTATAAAAAATTAAAAATATAGGTACCAAACTGTAATTTGTCATTTGGATCCATGGATCAATCCATGAAACCACCAATCCAATTGGATTATGATCAAATGGATTGGATTTAAATGGATTAGATTAGGTGGATATTTTTAATGGGTTGATGATTGGATTGGTAGATTGAATTGAAAATTGCCACCTCTAGTCAATAGATTATTAGATTATGGATTAAGGATTGTAAGCATTGTCATAACAACTAAATTGGATTGGCTGGGTCAGTAGAACCAATAAACCAGTTACGATAAGCGGTCAAGTCCATTGTTAGGACGGATGGACCAAACGATTTTTTACGGTTCAACGTAAAACCAGATGAACCATCACAGTTTAACTGGTCTATTGTAACACTATTTTAACTACAAATTGTAAACTAAGACCATCAAACTAAAATTATTAATTTTATTTATGCTTCCTCTTCTCATTTTCCAACTTCGTTGTCGACTTTAAATGGTCCACTACTGATTAGCAACTTAATTTTTAACTTGAATTAAAAAAATATGATTTCTTTTATGAGACATTTTGAATGATTTGTTAGATATGTTGGTGATGATATGAATTTGAAATTGTTTATGGTCAATGATAACTTTATTCTTAAATTAGTGTACTGTGCAAGACTTATATGTTATATATCTTATTGGATGATATATGTTATATATCATGAACGGTTCTATCAATGGTTAACCAACAGTTTTGTAACGGTTAATCACTGACCCTAAACCACTAATTTTTTATGTTCATCATCCAATCTGGTTATGAAAACAGAGACTGTAAATAAAATCCTATCACAAGTTATACCGGAAATATTAGCAGCAGGATATTTTATGTTGACATTGTGATTTAATTGTAATTACTATATTTTAATTGTGATTACTATTTCATACCGCTTAAAACCATCTACTGATTTAGACTATGATAAAATGTTTTGCGGTTAAACTACCGAAACAACAATTTTGCAAACACTGCAATAAGCTGAGTCTAGAACCTTTGAATCCTCGTCCAAGGATTCAACCCCTAAATTGAGACTTGAGATCAGGAGAAGGCGTGTCTTCAATCCAAAACTTTTAAATGGACATGTTTAAATCATAGTACAAAGTTATCCACCCAGACATCCAATCAGAGAGAGGAACCTATCTAATGTTCAGAAATGATAGACCGGGCTGGTCGCCAATGATTCTAGAATTTAAACGATGTAGGGGTGGGCATAGGTTCGGTTCAGTCAAAACCGAACCGAAATGCAGTATACCGAGTCCCCCGAAGCATGCTATGGGTCAAACCGAATTCGAACCGAAATATAATTTGGTTTGGTTCAACCGACTCGAATTATATTTCAATTCGGCTCGATTTTAACCTAAAAAAACGAAGACATAGGGGTCGTTTGGATGGAACATTTGTAAAATGAGGCAATTTACAGTAAATGTTTCATTTTAGAAAGTGATGCAATTCTATGAGAACTTTGTCCCAAATTATCCCGTTTGGCTTGTAATATGAGATGCGAGATTTAGGATGAGGCAATTGCATAAAAGACACTATTGCCCTCAATTTATCCTTCTTCTCCATCTTCATTTCATCTCTTTGCAACTAAAGAACAAAATTTCAAGACCAACAAAGATCGACTATCTCTTTCCAGAAAACAAATAAAGATCAGCTATTTCATCATCATAGCCACAACTATTTAATTTAACTAATCAAACAACCAAATCTTCCCATGAATCAAACAAACAAAACTCCCCTTAAAACATTCATCCAAGATCTGTACTGAATACGATAGCGAACAGAGAAGGGGAGAGGAAGAAGAAAACGAGATATTCAATGTTAGGGTTCCTCTTAAGATGAAGGTAGAGGCAGCGATTAAGGCTACCATCAAAGATCTTTGCCGCCGGCGACTGCTCCGCCCTTTCTCTTCTCCCCGGATTATAACCCCAAGAAATTAAAATGAAAACACATAAAAAACACATGTGTAAGATATGAAATAAGTAAGCAAAACCCGAATTCGACATGCAATTAGAACAAACCTAATTTTCAAATTCATCGTCGTTGTAGTCTTTGTAGTTGGCGCCGACCACCACCATCTTCATCATCTCCGCATTTTTGTTTTTCAATTCGAGAAGCGGAAAAAGAAGGCGGACAGGAAGAAGAGAACGAGAGATAGAAGATGAAGAAAAGAAGAGAGAAAATTGTTCGATTTTTGCCATAGTGAAGATCGGGGATCTTGTTCTCACGCTGTAGTCCGTCTATTAAAGCCCAGAGAGAGACGTGAAAGAGAAGAGAAGATGGAAGGGTTGTACCAGTGAAGAGAGAGAGAGGAAGGAAAGGTACGAGGGTCACAATTGGAAGGTGGGGACCAAAAACACGTCAATGAAGATTGCCTGCCCCCCACCTAGGTATTTTAAATTGACCCATAACGAGATAATTAGAATCGCCCCGACCCAAATTGATCCATTTTATTTTTCTGCTGCCAAACGAGCCAATATAACCCAATTGTCTCATTTTGAGTCAATTGGACAGAATTGACTCATCCAAAAGACTCATCCAAACGACCCCATAGAAAATCAGAAAATATCTCTCGCCTTTCCCATTTTCATCACATATCACTCTCTCTCTCTCTCTCTCTGAATTTTTCCTCTGCAACTCCTTTCACCCCTCCTGGTTTCTTCTCCTTCCCAGTTCCCTGCACAAAACCAACAACTCAAAAGCTCTAAAGGGGCCTCCATCCCTTCCCTCCCTCGATGTACCCCTCCAACCTTCTCCCCTTCCTCAAGGTGAACGACGACGGTGGCGATAGTTTCAATCGTTTGCCGACGCCGTTGCACTCTGCCCTTTCTGTCTCTCGCAGATCACTCCCTCTCCCTCAAGGAGTGGATCGTGATTCGGAGGATTGAAGGAGAAAACAGAGCATTCTGAGAACCTGCCGTCGGCGACTGGCTTCTGAGTTTGTTGGGCTCGGATTCCGCCGAGGTTGCTACGCTTTGTGTTTATTTCGTGTTAGGATCTCGTCGAGGTCGTTGCATGTTGTCACTCCACCAAGTCGAGCACTTCAGCGTCTCCTTCTACATCTGCATCGGATTGCATGTCGCCTCTTGTGAAACTTCATGATCAAGATCGGCGAACTCCTCTCCTCTTCCATCATGGTATCAGATTGAAGGAGAAGATGGAGGAACGACGACCGATTTGATTGCGGACGGCACGGCGGTGGCAGCAGATGTGTGAGGTCTTAGGTGGGACGGGATGGGGGGGTTTGGGTATTGTGAGCTTAGGGTTTGTTCTTTGGGCTGGGCTAGGATTTCGGTGGGCTATGTGTAAGAGAGTGGGTTGTGGGAGCATAGGGTGTGTTTGGGCTGAGCTGTGGGTAAGAAATGGGCTATTATGATCATAATTCGTTTTTCGGTTCGGAATTCGAACTCTCGGTTCGGTTGAAAGGATCACCATTTCCGAATTAACCATATTACTCTTCCGAATTCCGAACCGAACAACAATATTTTGGTTTAGGTTCGGTTCAGGATTACTGAACCGGATGCCCACCCCTAAAATGATGTACCCAAATCTTCTTCTAAGTACAAGGAGCCACAAAGTTGTATCCAATTCCCAAGTCCGAACCTCCACGTTCATAAAATAAGAGCTTTCAAAGTGATGATGTAATTGATGTCTCTTAATAGTTAAATTTGTCAAGAACCAGTTGATCCCAATAACTCGAGTTGTTGAGAGATGTGCAATCATGGATCATATACCACACACTAACACACCCCCTCAAACGAAAGCCAGTCAACTCATAAGGGATTTCGTTGGCACATGTTTTGAACACGGAATACATATGCTTCACAAATGGGGTCACCGGGATTCGAACACAAGAGCTCTCGCTCACATAAGGCTCTAATACCATGTCGAGAACCAGTTGATCCCAATAACTGAGTTGTTGGGAGAGGTTCAATCGTGGATCATATACCACACACTAACGAAATTTGACTTAGGGATTACAATTTTGTCTACACTCATTGCTATTCATGATTTACCCAACCCAAATACAAAGTAAATAAGTGGAGATATCCATTTAGTTTGGTCGGATTCAATTTTTAATCCATAAATTTAAGTTTGTACTCATACTCATATATAAATTAGAGTTTGTTCTAAAAAAAATTAGAGTTTGTTACATCAACTTAATAGTTTTTTAAATGAGTATATAAACTTACATATTTTTGGCATATAAGCCTAAGAAATTAAGAATAGAGGATTTCCATTCCTCATCCTAAAAACCATTATCTTCACTTTAACTCTTATTATAATTACTCTAATACCCTAAGGGTGTGTTTGAATATATAGAAGGATTTGGATTTAGATTCGATGTTTATGATTTGAGTTTCTAAATGTCAAATAATTTGTTTGGATATAAATTACATTTGATATTTGGATTCGTGTCAAATTCATGGGTTGATTATCAAATACATGTCTAGTGTATTACTTGTCTATTTCAATTATTTCAACAAATAGTGATTTGAAATTCCTCCTAAGAAAAGATTGGATTAGTTTGTGAAATTTCAAAAGTTTAGGTACTATGATGTGAGGAAAAACTTATAAAGGTACCAAAACATAATTTTACCACAAAAATTTGTGAACTTTTTTTGTAAAATTTAAAGTTTAGGTATTTGTTTGAGCCTAACTGGGTGTAGGAGTGAGCCTCGGGAAGATGGGTCAAGGAGAGTAAGCAATAGGAGAATAACCGTCAACGAAAGAACTGAGGA